GATTATTTTGTATAGTTGGCCTTATTTTGTATTTTTAATTGCAAACTTAATTTCTTTTAATAGATAATGGTGCTTGAGATTTTCCATTTATTTTGTTTGTTTTAGAAACTCATAGTTTTTAAGCAGTTTGGCTATGTCATCTAAGTTAAATATATTTGGCATAGAGTTACCCTTAATTTTCCCATAATTCTCTTTGTCTATAGGATCTGTAGTGATGTCCTCTGTTTCATCTTGATATTGGTCATTCTTTATTTGTCCTCTCTCTCACCGTTCACATCTATATCATCTTTTTTATCAATAGTATGTATATATTTTTTGAGTTGGAGTCTCACTCTGTCACCCAGACTGGAGTGCAGTGCCACACTCCTGGCCACCACAGCCTCGACCTGCTAGGCTCTGACGATCCTTCCGTCTCAGCCTTCCAAGTTGCTGGAACTACAGGCGCGCTACCAAGCCTGGCTAATTTTTGATTTATTGTAGAGATGAGGTCTCACCAAGTTGCCCAGGTGGGTCGCGAACCTGCAGGCTCAGGCAATTCACTCACCTCGGCCTCCCAAAGCGCGGGATTGCAGGCTGAGCCACCGAGCCTGGCCTCAATAGTATTTTAATTTAGCACAATGTCACCTGTTTTGGGACTGTTGCAATAACTTGGCACTAGCCTTCTTATTTACAGTTATTTTTCTTTGTGTGTTATTACAAGAGGAAAGATCTTTCTAAAGTGCAAGTGTAGTTAAATCTTTCCCAGCTTAAAACATTTTAATGTTTTCTAAACAGAAATAAAAATCTAAGTTCCTTCGTATGGAATACAAAACCATTAGTGATAAGGTATTAGTTTGTTTCAGTTGACTTCTCTTGTTCCTATATTACTCCTCCCTTTTTAAGCTCTCCCTGCAAGCCATACAAAACTGTACTTCACTGCCTTTCTAGATATTCTAATTTGTCATTCTTAATCTTAAACTTGCATGCAGTGTTTCTGATGTGATATGATCAACATTAAGTAGACAAAATTATCTTTTAACTCCATTACTGAGATTATTGTTAATATCTGATTGGTCTGGTATTAGTTAATCTTTGTTCTTTGTTTGTTTGTTTCTTTTTTTGAGTTGGAATCTCACTCTGTTGCCCAGACAGGAGTGCAGTGGCTGCTCCTGGCCACCGCAGCCTCAACCTGCTGGGCTCTGGTGATCCTTCCGCCTCAGGCTTCCAAGTAGCCAGAACTACAGGTGCGCGCTGCCACACATGGCTAATTTTTGATTTATTGTAGAGATGAGGGCTTGCCAAGTTGCCCAGGCGGGTCTCGAACCCGCGGGCTCAGGCAATCCACTCACCTCAGCCTCCCGAAGCATGGGATTACAGGCTGAGCCACCGAGCCTGGCTTAGTTAATCTTTGTTAGTATCTACTTGACATAACACATTTTATTCAATGTATCTTAACATTCACAGAAATATCTAACCTCAAAGTACCTTTTTTTTTTTTTTTTGAGTTGGAATCTCAGTATCACCCAGGCTGGAGAGTAGTGGCACAATCATGGCTACTGCCTCAACCTGATGGGGTCAGGAGGTTCTTCTACCTTAACTTTCCAAGTAGTTGGGACTTCAGGCACACACCACCATCCCCGGCTAATTTTTTGACTTATTGTAGAGACGGGGTCTCACTATGTTGCTCAGGCTGGTCTTGAACTCTAGAGCGCCGGCAGTCCTCTTCCCTTAACCTCCCAAAGTGGTGGGATTACAGGCATGAGACAGCTTGCCTGACTGCAAAGCGCCTTTGTAGCCCAGTTTCAGTTTCTAATTATTTCAGATCATATTAAGTAATGTAGGGTTGCATCTATTTGCTATCACAAGAGTACCTATGTGTTGGCTACTTGATCTCTCCTCATTTCACCTTGGGAGTGTTCATGTTGGTATTGAACACTCACCCAGATGACTACATGATATATATTTCTTTCTTTATAGATTCTTTTCATAGTTTGCAAAATCAGGAAACATTCTCCTGTAACTGACCAGTCAGTTTGGAGGTAAAGCAGTTGTTTCTTTTCTTGTCGGTCCGTCATCTTCTCACCCCCAGGGGAATCAGGATGTCCTTTGTTATTTTTAAAAGCCCAAACACTTCAAGCTTTTATTCTCTTGTTGGATTTGAAAGTGGGATGTTATTAGCTCTGTCTTGATGTAGCAGGGGCTCTGAAAGTCTATTTGGATAACACTGAAGATTGGAGGAAATGTGACTCTGTCTGTGTGTTTTAAGCCCCTAAAGTAAGATCAGAAAGCGTCTGGGGCAGTGAGAGCCAAATAGTTGAAGTCATACATTAATTATGGTCATGAATCATTTTTATTTTTAAAGTCTTTACCATTTGACAAGGTTGTTTGCATAGTACCAGTGAAGTTTAGGCAGCACTTTCCTACTTTTAAAGTAACAGGCTATTTTGTTGATTTCTTCTCTGGGTTGATAATATCTGTCATTTTTAGAATTCTGATAACATTTTCAGTAAAAATTACTTGTTTTTCTACCTGAATAAGTGACTTTTAATTTATGTGATTTTTGCTTTGATATACTATTTTGAAGTTATAAATATAGAAAACTATTACATTGCTCTTTCAGTTAATTGCCCACTGATATCAATAAAAATATTAAATCTTGGGACTGTGCTTTTATGTTCAGACATTAGATGTTAGTCAGCAAATCTGTTCTGAGTACCTCCTTTGTGTCATATTCAGTGCCAAGCATTTGGAATACTATTAGAAGATAAGATTCTTTTTTTCTCAGGAAGATCTAGTGAATAAATAGGCAAATAAATAAAACAGTTGCAGTAAATTGTGGTTCTATAATATTTGTTGTGGTGTCATACACATGATGTAGCAGATTTCCAGAGGAAGGAGGGGCTCTTTCTATCTAGAAGAGCTCAAGAGGTTCCCTTGAGCTGCCTCTTAGTGAATTAGGACAGGAAGAACTTGTAGGCATATGGAACAGCTCCTACAAAGGTACACAAGGAAGAAATGGCATTATATGTTTGGAAAATTGCCAGTAGTGTAATATTGCTGGAGATGAGAATGCCAGGTAGAACAGATCAGGAATGAGGCTGGAGATGTGGACAGGGACCACAGCACACATTTTACCTTGCTTAAAAATGCCTTTAGAACTGCCTTTGAAGAGAGTATTACTGTTAATATAGATCAGACACACAAACACACCCAGAGCAAGAGACAATCAGATAGAATATAATCTCCTCCATGGGATTCCTTAGAGATTTGTTGAATTACTGATCTCATGAGCAGAGTAGCTGTAATGAGAGTTGGTCCCTTTTAGATGACCCAGGAAATACTCAGTAACTATCAGTCAATTTCCAAGTGAATATGCCATGAATATTTTTAGGGTATAGGGTCATAATGATAATAATGTTGTCAGAGGTAATGTTAAAGTGAGGTATGCCTGTATAGAAGAAATATATGAGCTGTATTTAAACTGTTAAAGTGTGGTATGCCTGTGTAGAAGAAATATATGAGCTGTATTTAAAGCTCAAAACCAAAAAGTGAAAAGCACCGCAAAACCCTAACTAAAGCATAAAGAAAAACAACTTGTAATTTTTTCAGTGTTACTTGAAAGAGACCTTACTGAGAATTTATTTACTATTTAGGCTTTTGCCCATTTTAAAATGTATTACTTTGTCTTTTGTGTCATCTTTTGGTTTTTCCTTATCTGTTTCAGAGTGTTGGCTGTCTTGATTCAACCTTAACTGGGATCATTGTGAATTCGTTTTCTCTTTTTTTTTTTTTTTTTTGAGTTGGAGTCTCACTCTGTCGCCCAGACTGGAGTGCAGTGGCCGCTCCCGGCCACCGCAGCCTCGACCTGCTGGGCTCCGGTGATCCTTCCACCTCAGCCCTCCAAGTAGCTGGAACTACAGGCGCGCGCTACCACACCCGGCTAATTTTTTGATTTTTTTGTAGAGATGAGGTCTCGCTGCCCAGGCGGGTCTCGAACCCGCGGGCTCAGGCAATCCACTCACCTCAGCCTCCCAAAGGCGCGGGATTACAGACTGAGCCACCGAGCCCGGCTTTCGTTTTCTCTTTATGAGTATCTATAACTAATTGTCTGCTTTGATAGCAGTGATACTTTCTCAGTGACTTTAGCAATCAATTTAATTTCTGTAAGCCTCAGTTTCCACATTTGTAAGATGATAGGATTTGACCATATTATTTTTTAAGCTCTTCCAGACTTCTGTAAGTTCTTCATCCTAGCTCTCAATACATTAGAGGCAGGTGTAGAAAGGGTGTTTTAGTACTTTATTGTTTTAGGATTTATTGTAATCGTGTTATTTCATTGTTAATATGCTAGAGAATTGAGAATCAGTTAGGTTCGTTATTCTGTCTATTCTCAAGTACTGTCATTTATGTGGGGGGACCCCCCCAAACAGAGCTAATTTATAAAGAATTGTGGATTTATTTTTACATATTTAAACCTCAGTCACCTTCAGAGTACTCTCTGTTTGATGCAATCAATATATACCTATTGAGATGCTTTTTCTACTGCTCAGTTTTTGATGCCTTTTAGCGTTTCTGCCTTTTTTTGGTTTACTTTTTCCACATTGGCAACTTGTTTCCCTTTGAGGACTTTTTTCATCTGCAGAAACAAACAAACAAAAAGTCGCTTGGGATGAGATCTGGTGACTGGGGAGGGTGGGGCATGGGGGTCATGCCCTTTTGGGTTAAAAACTGCTGAACACTCAGCACAGTGTGGGCAGGTGTGTTTGTAAATCACCCACCATGAAATGGGCAAATGCAATGAAAGAATCTCCCCCCCGAATTCACTGAAACTGAATTTACAACATTAGCTGGTATACTGAAGTGATGGTTCCTAGAACCTAGCTGTAGAAACCTGTACTACAAGGGGCCTACCCTCCAAAAAGATAATTCCGGGTTTGGGGGTGTACCTCCTTGTATCTGGGGCTCTGTGTTGAAAGTTTACTGTTAACTCACTCACATTTTTCTATAATTTTAATTTCTAGGCTTCATAGAGCCCAGTGTGCAATTAAACAGACTCAGGTAACTGTTCAGAAAATTGGAAAGGAAATTGAAGAGAAGTTAAGACTCACGTCTACAAGCAATGAGCTGGTATGTTTTTGTGTATTTACCTGTTTATGCTTCTTGTTTTCTAAAGGAGGTTATTATATTCTTCTAGCATTAATTTTTTTTAACTGTACATAGTTATTATCTTTTTAATGTTTCACTGAGACTTCTGTTGACATTTGTGTGTTAAAAATAAACTTTCCCATCTGATGATAATGTAACATACAAAGTGCCTGCCTTTTTCTGCTAGATGAAACTTTAGATTATATACAGTTACTTAGAAGTTAATTAGCAGGCTATTTTATTAATCTAATATAAATATGAACTCCAAACATGAACTATATATTGAATGAAAAATAGCTACCAGAAGGAAACAAAATAAACTGACACTAATCAACTTTTAAAAGATTAATTTAAAAATTATTTGGATTGAGCCTAACAGTCTGGTTTGTGACAGTGATCTGTTTTGGAAAATACTCTTTTAAAGAGTCATTTCTAAAGAAATAAAAATCGTAGCCCAAATGAACAAACTTAAGATATTAGTATAATTTTGGGTTGCTTTGTACTTTTCTAAGTTGAGAACAAAAATGTTTTTTTTAACTTACAAATTTTTTATTTTAAAGATGTGGGGTACAATTCAGGGTTAGGAATACAAATGTTCGTTATCCAGGTACCCTTGAAAAATGTCTATTTTTAATATTCTGTTTTTTTAAGTGGACTAGTAGGTATGGCTGACAAAGTGAGCTTTTCTTAAAATAATGCTTGAGTATAAATAGTTTTTGATGAAATTTGTGCTGTGGATTATGATACTTAAAATTTAAATCTTCAAATTAATTTCTAGATAAAGTTATTTCAATATTTGTTGATATGAATTCATTATTACAAATAAGCAACAACTTTCTGTTGTCATTGACAAACTTGACAGAGGGCTTTTACAGCCCCAAACAAAATCTTTTTGTTTTGAAGATTTGCCCAAGATAATAATGTAGTAGAAGAACCTCGGAAAATAGCTATGCACAGACTTCTCTCAAGGAAATTAATGTATTCGTTCAAACTGATTAAAATGACTGATTCTGACCTATAAACGATCATTTCATATAGTTCAGCTTAATATATAAAATAGTGCTGTAGCTGGCACATAGCAGTCATACAAAATATGGTAGCTGAAATAACTATTGTAGTAATTCTTATTATTCATTTGACTTTCCTTGTCTATAAAAAAAATCTTCCATTTTGGAGACACCGTTAAACCACCTTTTGTTATAACTTAGTCCCAATAAAGGACCAAATTCCAGACCATAAATATATTGGGGGAAATAAAAAAATAGCTAATTTTAATTCTTTCTGTAGTGTATAAAAATGCTACATTTTTAGAACCTTTGTCTTGGGGGGAAATTGCTAGGTTTTATTTTTCTTATTGTCTTATCTCAAGGCAAGACTGGGAAATTATTTGTTTCATTAAATGACAGCATGTGCTTTATCTCAGTATGGAAAAATGTACTTTTAATCCTGTTTTTTTGAAAATACAAGTGGTGACACACAGAGCAAGGTGATAGAATGTATAAGTTGAAAAAGGTCAAGTTCAGAGGTTCACTGTGTGTTTTTTATACTGCCTAGTCCACCTAGAAGAAAAGCATTGAATCTTTGAACTAAATATGAACCTAGAAATCATCTAATTCCTTAATAACTCTATTTAAAACCACAACCCCCCACTCCCATCCCTGCCATTGCATTCTATCCCCTTTTTGGCTTTATTTTTCTCCATAGTATTTGTTACCATTTACCATGATGTATATTTTAGATGGATTTTTGTCTCTCTCTTTTTTTTTTTCATTGTTGTATCCCCAGCATCTAGAAAAGTGTTTAATACATTGTAGGTGCTCAGTAAATATTAATTGAATTTAAGAGTAAAACTGGCATAATTTCCTCTTATAATAAGACAGGGAAAGGAGGCTTAAAGAAAGGAAGCAACTTTCCCATAATCATTTGACAAGTAGAGACAGTGAGTTTGGTTTACTTGTCTCCTTTCAGGGAATAGTATCGTTTACATGTTAATTAGTCAGTTTCATCTGTAGCATGTTAGAAACCTTTGCTATTATCTTTTTCCCCCCATTTCATTTGCTAATTGACCTAAGATCATCACCCCAACCCAAGTATTTCCAGTATATAAAAATTGACTGTAATTTTAGTCTAAGTAAAAATACAGTGAGAAGGCATATTTGATGTTGAAATAAATCAGATTACCTACTAAGACCACATGTAATTAACTCTGTTTTAAGAAATTGGGTTCATACTTGATGATTTTCAAAGATGTGGCATCATCTCACATTATACCTATGTTCAACTTCTTTTTGATATTAATTATATTTTTAATAAATTTCTGCTCTTGTCATCTTGAATTTTTACTTATGTGTCTTAGATTTATTTATTTCTTTAGAGGTAAGATCTTGCTATGTTGCCCAGGCTTGTCTTGAAGTCCTTGAGCTCAAGTGATTCTTCCACCTTAGCCTCCCAAGTAGCTGAGATTACAGGCATGAGCCACCACACCCAGCTTATGTTTTAAATTTTGGAAAATGCCTTTCATGTGTCTTTTGGGATAATTGTATGCTTTTTCTCTTTTCTTCTAGTCTTGTAGTGAAGTACATTGGTTGATTCTTGAATGTTAACCCAACTTGCATTCCTGGGGAAAGCTCTGTTGGCCATGGAGAATGCATATTACTGGATTCAATTTGTTAAAACAGTTTTGCAGGACTTTTGCTTTTATATTCATAAAGAATATTTGTCTATAGTTTGTTTTCTTGTAATCTCTTTGTCTGATTTTTTGTTTTCTTGTAATCTCTTTGTCTGATTTTTTGTATAGAATTGGAACTGTTTCTTAAATGTTTGGTAAAATTTACCATTGAAGCCATCTGGGTCTGGAGTTTTCTTTGTGGGAAGGTTTTGAACTAGAAAGTCAACTTCTTTAATAGTTATAGGGTTATTCAAGTTATCTGCTTCTTGAGTGAACTTTGTAACTTGTGTCTTTCAAAGATTTGTCTGTTTCACCTCAGATGTTAGTCTTAATTTTAGCCTTTCTAGCATTGTGTGTTATTTTCTTTTTCTGGTTCTAAACTGTATTTCTATAATGAGCATTTTTCATATCCTATTGAACACTCATGTATCTTTTAAGAACTGTCAGTTCATATATTTTGTGCATTAGAAGGATAAACTATCTTTTTTTTTTAATTTTAGTATATAGGAAGCGTACTCAGATAATTCAGAGAGTTCCCATATACCTTTCATCCAGTTTCTCCTAATGTTGACATCTTTTATAACCAAGGCATTTGGCATGTTATATGGTCGAAATCAAAAGTTAACATTGATATGTTATTATTAATTATGAACTTTATCCAGGTTTCACCAGTATTTCCACTAATGCTTTTCTTTTAAAATGAATAAGCTTTAAAAATGTTAGAACAGTTTTATTTTTATTTATTTATTTTTGAGTTGGAGTCTCACTCACTTGGTCCCCCAGACTGGAGTGCAGTGGCCGCTGCCGGCCACCACAGCCTCGCCTGCCGGGCTCCGGCGATCCTTCCGCCTCAGCCTTCCAAGTAGCTGGAATTACAGGCATGCACTACCAGGCCTGGCTGATTTTTTTTTTATTTATTGTAGAGAGGAGGTCTCGCTGCCCAGGCGGGTCTTGAACCCACGAGCTCAGGCAATCCACTCACCTCAGCCTCCCAAAGGCGTGGGATTACAGGCTGAGCCACCCAGTCCGGCTGAACAGTTTTAGATTGATAGAATTATCACAAAGACAGTACAGGACTTATCCCACATACAATTTATCCTATTATTAACATTTAACCTTAATATGGCACGTTTGTTACAATTAGTGAATCTGTATTGATGAATTATCACTAACCAAAGTCCATGCTTTATTCAGATTTCCTTAGCTTTTACCTAACACCCTTTTTCTATTTCAGAATCCCATCCAGGAAACCATACAACATTTAAATAGTTAATCATGTTTCCTTAGGCTCTTAGGTTGTGAGAATTTCTCAGACTTTACTTCTTTTTGATCACTTTGACAGTTTTGAGAACTTTGACAGGTCAGGTATCTTAAAGGATATTCCTTGATTAGGATTTGTCGGGTGTTTTTCTCTTGATTAGACTGGGTTCTAATGCCTTTTGTTTGTTTTGGTGTTTAGTTCAGGATACCACATTGGATTTAGTCATAATGTCTTCCTTGTCTTCTCTGATGTATGATAGTTTTTCTGTCTTTCCTTTTTTAAATCAACATCACTAATCACTGTTGCCGTAAACCTTGATCATTCAGTGAAGGTAGTATCTCCCAGGTTTCTCCACTATAAAGTTCCCTTTCTACATTCTGTTTTTTGGAAAGCAAGTTACTGAGTCCACCCTGTAATCAAGAGGAAGGGAATTTAGTTTCATCTTCTAGAAGGGAGTATCTATATATATTATTTGGAATTCTTTGTGGGAGATTTTCCTTCTCCCCCATTTATGTGTTTATTTGATCACTTATGTATCAGTATGAACTTATGTACATTTATTTTATACTTTGAGTTATAATCTGGTGCTATCTTATTTTTTTTCTTGCTCACCTCTCTGACTTTGACCATGGAGAGATGTTTCAAGTTGGCTATGTGTCCTTTGATATGCCCCCATCTCTTTTGTTTGTTTTTTTACGATATTTCCTTACTCTCTGTCACTAATTCAGGCTCCTCTTGTCTTGCCCTGTCCCAGTCCTAGAATCAGCCATTTCTCCAAGGAGGCCTGTTCCTTCCATTGAATATTGATATTTATAATTACCTATATCTATAATTTATTTACTTATTTGTTGAGTCTTGGTATGATGTAAAATAATTTCTTTTTTTCTTTTTCATTTTTACTTGGGGTTTTTGTCTTCTTATTTGGGGGTTGTAAGAGTATGTGTATGCTTCTGTATATACATTCTTTTTCTGATATATGTGTTGGGAACATCTTCCTCCAGTCTGTGTCTTGCCTTTTTGTGTGTGCGTGTGTGTTGGAGTCTCACTCTGTCA